ACCGGAGAGCAGTGATTTTCCGTTTGTGGACGCCTTTTTCTTCGTTGGCGCACCGCGGAGGACGATGGTTGCGGTGCAGGTGAGACGACGAGGGCTGAACATGGCACCAGAACCAGCACGGTGAGGCGGTTCAACGATCTTCCACGGAGTTATTTTAATGGCTGGGAAACTTTTGCGGAGGGCTTGTCGTGGGAGATGATTTACGTGCAGCATGAGGACAGTACGGCAATAAACGCGTGGCAGCAATGTGTTGTCGTCGCGCACGCAAATGTAACGGGCAGCAATGAGCGTGGGGACCCTCGGGCCATTGCGGCATTTTGGAATCAGCAGGTGAGTCAGTGCCAGCTAGCGGTATCAGCTGAGAATTTCAGAAGTGGACGACAAACCCAACGTGGGCGACACCCAGAGGGAGAAGGAAAAGGAGGAGGGGAACAAGCAGCTTGAGTTTACTGGTGAAGTATTTTAGGGAGTATGATATATTGCCGAGTGTGTTTGTGTGTGGGTAGGAGGCGTTCTTAGGGACTCGCTCTGCCGTGCACCAAATGATTATTATGGCCAGCGCGACCACAGCAGCACTTTTTTTTTTGTTGTGGTTGCGAGTAAAATTGTGTGGGGAATGATGGCGCCTTGTGGGTGTACGCCAGCAGTATTCCATTGGTGATATATCCTCGCTGTTCCCAGTTTGTTGCTGCAGAGAGTTTGGGCGAGAGGGTAAGTTTTGCATGCTGAGTGGGCTTACAGGCAGGAGAGCAAATGCGGCGGCCACCACAGCCCAGAGGTCAGGGGCAAACCGAATTATTGTGATTGTTTTTGCGCGTTGGCGTGGTGTTTTTCTCTTTTGCTTTTTTGGGTGCCATCGTTTTTTTTGGTTGGCGTGCGGCTCCAATGGGGGGTGCCGCATGCGCCGCTGAGAGCCTTGAGCAAACGCCGTTGGCGCCTCTCTTTTGTTGGGTTGCCGTCCTGGGCGCATGCGCCCGTTCCGTCTTGTTCGGGCTGCACGCACTGACCGGGCAGTCTGAGACTACGGCTGCGCTGGCGTCGCCCTCGCTTGCGAGCGGAACGAAGCAGCAGGAAAGGGGGCTGCCGCGCTTATTAGGCAGGGTTTATTTTTAGTTGTTTTTATTTATTTAAAATGCTACACCCCACTCCTGCTGCAGTGCGCTGAGGGAATTGGGGGGCGTTGGGGAGTTTGTGGGGGCCGTGATGGGAGGTCCCGCTGGCATGCGCACTGCGTGTTGCTGCTGGCGGGGTTTGAAGGGGCTGGGCGGGGGAGACGCTAAGCGGCGTGCTTATGAATTTGTTTAGTGTTTTTATTTTTGATTTTTGCGGGGGCGTCTCACGCTGCGGGCTCTCCGTGCGGGTGCGTGCGTTTGTCGGTGCGGCCTTCGTCATGGATTGTAGCTGGTGTGTGCGGGGTGCACATCTGTGGGCGCGGACGGTGCCCATAGTTGTATTCCTTTTTTTTGTTTCTATTTTTCTATTTGGTTTTGCCTCACTTTTCTCTCTTCCGCAAACACACGAAGAAAAA